GCCGCGAACGGCCTCCCCGCCTCTCTTGTGGAGCAGCTGCTTTCTGGGATGGGGTTTCCCCTGCAGAACCAGTGCTAACGCTGGTTTCAGGGCTTAAACTGGCAAAGAAATACAGGTCCAGACTGCTTCAGAGCAATCTTTTCTGTCACTACAACACTGAGAAGCCAGGTTGTTTTGTGTTGTGGTGGGGGGGGTTTTGTGGTTTGTTTTTTTTTTTTTTAAGGTTATTTTAGAACCAAAGTAGGAGAGGCAACTGGCCGCAAGTCCCTTCAGCTCTCCAGTTTGCTTTCTTTCAGTGATCTGCAGGCTGCGGTCCTGGCAGCCTTGCCCAGCACTGGGCTGTTCCCCGTGCCAGTGGCCTCACTGGTCAGATGGTGAGCAGGGAAACCTGCACACAGGGAGTCCTGTCCAGAGCCTCACCTGGATGATAGCAAAACTGACCTCCCCCAGCCCTCCACAGGGAGAGGGCACCCTAATTTAACCTTGCCTGGCCAAGGGAATTCAGATATTCAGATGCCTCCCAACTTGCAGCTTCAAATGGCCTGGTGTGGGTCTGCAAACAGAAAAAATGCCATTTCCTCTCTTGCACTGGGGCCTACATCAGGCGATAACTGCGCCTCTGTTTTAACTTGCTAAGCTGCTTCTGTATCTGGCATCGCCAACGTTATATTCTTACCACACACTCCCAGTTTCTGAGGTTTTGGGGGACTTCTGTGGGGTTTTTTTTGCTAGAACATGTGGGTCTGATTACATCTGCTTTTCCCTCAAACAAAATATTTCTGGACAAATAAGCAGACCCGCCTTAAGATCCTGGACGAGGGTACTTTGGAGACTGGGAAGCTGGAAGGGTGTGTTTCAGCTAGGAGAGCTGGGACTGCTGCCCCGCGCAGATCCCTTGCCGCCCGAGCACGGTGGACTGACTTCCAGAAGCTTTCCATTGCAACACTTGTGCGTAAGCTAAATCTTGAATATATTGCAAGAGCAACTGGCTTCATTTCTCAGCCAGGTGATGACTGCAGGTCTTACTGTAGGTGGAAGAAATCTGGCTAGTGTGACAAAAATACCCATCTCCCCCATTAAACAGAGGAGAAAAGCTAGTGCAGTAGAGTTGCTGAAATTTGCATTGCACAGGGGAGAATTGCTAATGCAGTAGAGCTGGTGAAATTTGCTTTCTCCTGTGGTGACATTGCTTCTCACATCCCTGAGTACTGACGGGTGTGTGCTTTGCGTCAGTCCTGAGCAACTTTCTGCTGTTTTTGCTAGTTAACAAGCCGTCAAAGAGGAATGGTATCCTTCACTTCCCTTATTTAAGCCTCGGCTTATTTAAACCAAAATTTATTAAAATCCTTAGCTTATTTAGACCAACTTGACCTTGCCTCTTTTCTAATTTTCATGACATCAATTGCACTGTCTATTCAAATACTATTTACATCTAGAGACAGGATATAACATATGAGTTCAGGTTTGATTTATTTTGTTTCCTTTTTTCTATGCTAATGCAATTAGACTCAAAATAGGTGAGGGCATTTACAAAGGAAAAAATGCCTAGCAGGCATTTACAGCACTGCTGCGGGAAAATAAAAGTTAATTAATTGAGATGCATAACTTGTGTTTTGCATACAATAACTACTACGCAGTAACCATCCTGTGCCTCTCCTGATGAAACAAAAACTTCAGAGTGGATCCTCATTAATAGAAAGCTCCCTTAGACAGTTTCTTAACTGAGCTGCGGCATACGTACTGAGAAGTGGAAGAGCAAAAGCAGGCGAGTCACTTATTCTACGTGGGAAAGAAAGGGACAGGAACAAAGATTTGCAAATAGGAATGTCTCTTAAACTGCATTGCTTCTTAGTGCACATTTGCAAATACCACATAAGAGGGAAAAAGAAGAGTGGGAGGTCATTTGGTAGGGAGCTGGGGAAGGATTTTGTTTAGAGCTTTGTACTGGTTTGTGTCTGGGAAGTACCTGGCTGGCAGCGCCTGTGTATTATCAAAATGTTGCAACGCAGAGCTGCTGTACTACACTATAATATGACTCAGGATGACAGTCTGGACCATTGCAGGATTAAACTGTTGACTCCGTCTTTAGAACATATCAGTAAGCCATCAGATACGACAAGGATTGTTTGCAATGTGGTTACTTGGAGAGGGCTCTTGCCTTTATAGTGATGAGGCTGTACTTTTCTGAGCAATATTTGTGGGTGGCTATGTCCTCCTGGTTCTGAATGGCTGCTCCCAGCACCTTTGCTTTGAATTATCACTGTAAAAGATGGGCGTGTAAAGGTGATCACGTGGAGGTTAACTCTTTCTTGTATTCCTAACAGCCAGTTGATGTCCATTAAGTGCACAACAGCCAACTTAGGAAAAGGGAAACATTCAGCTGGATCGTTAGTAAGTGCCAAAAGAAAAGGAAAAAAAAAAAAGAAAAAAAAGGTGGAACCGAGAAGTAGGAGCCCAGCCTTTGTGAATCATGTTTTACTGCAGCTGTACCACTGTACCTGTGTCCCTAGAGGTATGGACTTTGATACCACAGGTTATTGGTGAAGCTGAGTGCATGTGTTGACTTCACTGAAAGGCCTGGTAAGTAAAGGAGGAATGTTACAGGTACACATATCTTTTCAGCATGCCTTCTGTCTGATTTACGATGCCAGGATGTATTAGAGACAAACAGACTTAGTTTATAGTGTCCGCTGAGTGCAAGCACTTGGAAAATGCTGATGGAAGAAGTGTAGCAGTTGGTGTCCCTATCTACACCCAGAAAATATTAACTGCAACTCTCCAGTAAAAGATCCCAGGGAGCAGGCGAGGCTGGCGTCCCTGCCGCTGGGCTGTGCGCGCAGCAGGCGCGCTTCCACTGCTAGCAACCCGCAGTGTGAGAAGTTGAAAATATATAGGACTGTGCATCTCCTGAGCTCCTGGCAGACCCAAGTGCCTGAAGTCAAGTTTGTACTAGGGGGCTTTTATTTAGTAGTTTGGTAGTATAGCAGTTGCTTTTCCTGCACTTCTAAAACCAAAACAGAGCTGTGACTCCCAGTATTAATTCCCAACCAGCCCTCCCAGCAAACCTTTGATTCTGGGTTGTCCTGTGCTCATGGTGGGTAGACATATACTTTCCCTTCACCAGTCATGCTACCATGGAAGTTTGCACATTATGTGAGCAAGAAAATACTACTGATGGTGCTCTCTTGCTTGCAGTCCACTACTCCTTTGTTTCACCAACAAAGCAGATATTTTGGGGCATTCTATGTACTGGGGTCTCAAGGCCAAACCAGAATTGCTACTGCTATTTATATACAGAAAAATATTATAAGTGGAGTGTAAAAATGTGCCTCATCTACGCATGTCATGGTAAAACTTTCTACCCTAAGATTCCAGTTATTCACAAGCTAACAAACTTGCTTGTTTTTGTAAGTGAACAAAGATGAGAAAGGCTTGTTACTTCAAATCCTGTAGCAGTTCATCTTCCTGCTAGACTATTTCCTAGTCCTTTTATTCATTTCTAGAGGGAAATCTAGATTTAAATATCCTACCCTGTAGAGCTTCCATCTCCTCCCTGGTGAGGCTGAGGCATGGCCACATAAAATCAGGAAATACACCTAACACTAAGTCTCTGTTGCTTTTTTTTAAATTATTACTATTATTTCATCATATTACTGGTACTCATCATTAAATAATCCCAACCCCTCCTAGTTGCACAATAACATTTGCAGCTTAGTTCCTTTCCATAGTGATCATTAATCAAGCTATGTAATAAAACTCTTAATCCTTCCTAATAATTATAGACCTTCAGCCCCCAAACAGTTTTGGTTTCTTTAAAGTTCTTTCGACACCACCTAATTGATAAATACTTTTCTACTGATTAGATGCAAAGAAAAGAACTTGACTCTTCTTTGAGGCAAAGCCGACTTGGGGAACGCTAATACCTCCAACTGTTCTTCTGCTTTTCTGCTCTCCTATTTATGCAGCCTCAAATTACTGTGGTGTTATTGTTTGATTTCATAAACAAACATTATATATATATGCCTATTTTGAGTAAGAAGTACTCTCTCTGCCAAATGAAGGGACCTGAGAATTTTCTATTTTTACGGAAAACTTAAATTCTGCCTAAATGTCTCATGATTACAAGGTACTTCTGAGCACAAACCAGCCAGAAACTGGGTCTGATCTGTCTTTCTCTGAGTGTGAGCAGGTCTCTCCAGCTCTTAAGGCGGCTGTGAGAGTAAACCCGCATCTCTCCCCTCCCGGCAGCCAGGAGCCGTAGGCGGAGGATCTTGCAGACAGAGCCAGAGAGCTGGGTGCCTGCAGGAGCTCTGTCAGCTCTCAGGAGCCTCTGGGAGGAGAAAGAGCCGGGAAAGCCTGACTTGATGGGTATGGGGAGCATCCCTCACGGAGAAACACCAATTTCAGTTGGAGCCCTGCAGCAGCCCCTCCACTGAAACCTCTCCCCGTTGGTGGGGGTAGCAACAGTTTGTGGAGGAAAGGAGCGTGCCAGGGCTGCACCCTACGCTTGGTAAGGGTGCAGCCTCCCACCGCAACCTCTTCTATCAGTCACTTATTGAAAGACTTCCAGTTATTTTTCTGAGGTTTTTCTTGCACTGTGTGTAGGTACAAGTCCAGAGCTTTTTGCTGCCTTTCCCGTGACTCCCACTGGTGCTCACGTGGCAGGCTGGCCGTTTGATGGTTATTCTCTTGTCCTGTCCAGTGCTGTGGCCAGCACCTATGACTCAGTCTTAGCAGGTTTTATCAGTATCAACCTGCTGATAACTGCCATTGGAGAAGATCCAGCAGGAGAAGGAGAGGAAGGTATGGGGTCACCAGCACTGAGATCTGTCACATGTGAGCACAAAACCCACTGAATTTCATAATGGTGGTACCTACTACTGCCCTGCTTCCGAAGACCTGAAACAAAACCGGGCTTGATATTAATCTTCCTGACAAGACATCTCCTACAGCTATGTGTGTTGTCATTTTCATATCACCAGAGACAAGAAAATAAATTACTGTGAGCAGAGATGGGGCTGACCTGTATCCAAAAGCTTGTTATACTTGTAAAGTAAGCACAGAGGATATGGAAATAGCAGAGAGAGCACTGGGGGGCTTTCTGGCTCATATCTCCTCAAGTCGTGTTTGTGTTGCACCAAACCTCAAGGTGACTAACCTGCAGGTGTATTTGAGTTTGCAACCTAAATTTTATCAGGCAGATGCCAAACTTGGCTTCCTACACTGTGCCAGCACATGTAATGCATCTGAAAGGGAATGTGCTTTGATAGCTAAGTGTTCCTTCTTCCTGCTGTGCTTTTTTTCTTAATCGTGCAAATATCGATACGTAGCATTCCTAGGTCATTTAGACTCAATCACTTTTCCTGGGCTGGCTGTGTGTAATGGTTAAATATACCTTTATATTAGTTATCCCTAAATAAATCCTATTGTGGAGACAATATCCAGTACGTGCGTTAGGTACATCAGAGAATATTTTGTGTGAAAAGATTTTATCAGACCACTGACGTAGCTTTAATCTCCAGACGCTCATCGGGTGAAAAAATTAATTTGAAAAGTTTTTGCTGTCTTGAGTAGGTCCAAGAAGGGAGAGGGGAAAGAAACCCCTTTCCTTACCCTTTCTATGCCAGCATGACTGTCTTCAGGTGGCAGCAGTGGTGGCTGGGGGTTTTGGGTTGAGATCTGGCTGATGGGTGGCTGCTGTATTGCTATTGGAATAGGGGGGAAAGAAACCGGTTCAGACTGATCTAATGAAAATAGCTGTAAAACAATGCTTTGCTTTCAAAGAGTAAATTGATGTACGTAGTAGAGGTGTCTGAGATAGTTTTACTGCATTCTTGGTCTCAAATTACTAGGTTGTCCCCATTTTTGCAACTAGTAGAGTGCGTGAGTTAAGGTGGAGGATTTTAGCTCTTTAGGAAAAGGTTCTCTGTTTCACTGTCTTTTTCCTCTTAGTTTTTGCACAGAAAGAACAGAGCCTATGTTGAAAGCAGGGTGTCTCCAGAGTCACTTCAGCTGTGTTGGAACAGACAGCTCTGATGAGAGAGACATTTTTTGGAAAACATTCTGACCTAGATCTCGCTGCCCTCTTTATTCCCATGTTGGAGGGAGCTCGGGATCTGGCCATACCTCTGTCTGAATGTGTGAAAATAGAAACCCACATTATGCAGACGTGGGAAGTGAGCTGTGCTGACAGCTGACTGGAAAAAAAAGCGCTAGCGATATGGTTTAGCCCGTGCGGGCAGGTATCCTGCCTCCAGGGCAGGAACACCTTTCCTTGCTGTTGTTTGCATTGGGCTCACCTGAACTCCTCCTCGGTTTCTAAAAAGGACAGGGTCTGGCTGTAATGAGGGCCTTTTCACCAGCCCCTGTTACTGCAAAAAGGGAATTGCCTGCTGGTTTTGGGGAGGTTTTCTTACCTTTGTTGTCCCTGCCCTGGCCTGTGGTGGGTGAGTTCTGGGCGCTCGTGCAGCTCTGCTGGGATAAGGCCAATCGTTTCATGCCTGAGCCTCTCCAGCCTGCAGCTGCTTGATCCTAAGAATCTGCACCACCCCATCCCATCAAATGTCAAAGTAATGATTCAAAGAGAACTCTTCCACTTTACCTCAGATTCTGCTGTTTCTCCTCCACCTGCTACATTTTAGCTGTTTCTAAATTTTTTCAGCTTGAAAATAGATACTGATTTTCAAGAGCTTTCTCTTTGTCATCTCTCACTTCAGCTATTCCAAATCTGTTTCTTTTTGGTCATGCTAATTTTCCTCCACATGCATTATTCTTGTCATAAACAAACAGGCAAGAAGCTGGATGCTGACAGCACTATTATTTCCCAGCAGCTATCTCCTGTGGTGGTACCCTCTTGTCTGCTCTCACCCTCCCCCTGTGCATGGAAGTGGTTTTGTAAACTTGCATGTTGAACAGGAACGGTAACGATAAAGTACATGGTCAGTTGTTGTGTGCCCTATCTGCTCAGATGTGGGTTTCTTACAGATGCGGAATTTGGAGGTGTTATCTCCATTACCATACTGCACTATATCCCCCTATCTTTTCAGCGGGACAAGTTAGCAGGCAGGGACTTCTGTGCTGCTGCACCAACGATGGCACCTCTCAGCTGTGCGCTTTGGAGGCATCCGGTATTGCTTTGACATAGGGCGTGCTCACAGTAAAGGATTTCAACAAAAAAATTATTAAAGGAAACCAAAGACCTGCAATGACCTACAGTTCAGTGCACTGCTGTGTGTAATGTCTGTCTTGTTTTCTCTTCAAGGATGGGGGAGAGCAGCAGCTGCCACGTACCTCGTTGGCTTTGTGATCCTGGTCATCTGTTTCGCCCTCGCAGTCATCGCGTTCTCGATCGAGATACTCCGCTTCAACTTTGTGCGAGGAATTGGAGGCTTGCTCTTTGTTGTTGGTAAGGCTGGGCACAAAGACAAGATTATTTTAGATATAAAACAGACATCAGCAGAAAAACATGCTAGATGGAGCCTCCCTTATGAAATAAGCTGTCTTTGGTTTATGACTCATTTTCATGGGGAATAAGGGAAGGTTGATTTACGCTCTGAGAGGATAATGGTTAGGGAAGCCCCAGTGGCCTTTGTCAGTTAGCACTTTCCCAAAAGCAGTGTACAGGGGCAACCGGCACCTTTGACCCTGCAGGTCACATGCTAAGACTCAGGAGCTGAGAGCGCCGGGCGCTTCCCACCTTCCCGAGGGGAGGAGCAGCGATGGGGCTGTGGTACGAGCGGGAGGTAACTGGCTCCGCAGGGATCACGGTGCCTGGCTGCAGGACAGGGCTGGTCGCGGCACGCAGGTACGCGCCGTAGCAACCTGGCAATGTCAGCCGTAGCTGCCACAGTCAGATAGGCGTAGGGATCTGTCTGGGCCAGGAGTCACGTACCTTTCTGTAAGAATGCAGATTTCATTGTAGGACTGAAGCTAATCCTTACAGATCTTAAAAAGATAGGCAGTTATCTCCAGGTACCTTTTTTAGTGGGAAGTGTAAAGCATTCATTGTCATTTACTCCTGCTTTTCCTTCTTTCTTTCTTTCTTTCTAGCTGCATTCCAAATCATAGGCTTGGTCATCTACCCAGTGAAATTCGCAGAAGAAATTCCACTGACGGGAGATAACATGTTCAGCTGGGCTTATGGCTTTGGTTGGGCCAGCACTGTTGTTGTAATAGGTTGTGCTTTCTTCTTCTGCTGCCTCCCCAACTGGGAAGATGAAGTCCTGGGAAACATCAAGCCTACTTATTACTACTCATCCCCAGAGAGAGCACCATACTTAAATTGAAAGATTAAATCCAAGTACAACCAACTGTCGAAACAGTAGAGGAGCACCTCTGATGTAAATTTGGTGCGATTATAGGAGACTGAAAAAACCACCTTATTTCTCCAGAGTATTTCTTACTAGCCCTGGCAATAAATTAGTAAAAACATTGGCATCTTTAAGCAAACAGCTTTTACCCAAAGTATTATTTACGTATTCTCATGTCGATTCTGTTTGGGTGGTTTACTTGCTCCTTCCCCTCCCGACTAATTGAGTCATCCTTATTTTATTCAAACATTTGCTTATGAATAAAGATGTAGTGTTTCAAGTGTAGAAAGGAAGAGGAGAGATTTTAAACAATCCATTAGAGGGACCTGCAAGTTATTTTGTTTTCACCTCTGACAAAATTGCCTTAAATGGAACTAGAAAAAAAACAGCCTTCCAAAGAATGTTTTTTTTTTTTCCACCAAAGTCAGTCCCAAGGAAGGAACTTCCCTGAGGCTATCGCAGTCACCTGCTGACTAAGATTCTTGTTTCATTCCTGTTACTGGACTATTGTTGACTATTAGCTATTTGAATTAAGGGCAAAATAAAATTACAATTTATTTTCCACCAATTGGTGCTCTTGAATGGAGAGATCTCTAAAGCATGGAGCTGGTGTGTGTAACAGTGGCTAATGTAACACTTATTGGTGGTTTTGCGGCCACGGCAGGACTTGTGATGGAGCCATGTATAATTTAATGTACATTGTCACAGAGAGAATCAATAAACCTTCAGATGTTATACTACATACATTTTTACATGGTATTCAAGGGATGCTGATTTAGAAAATGCCTTTGAGTAGAAACATGCACTGTTCTTTATGGCTACCTTTGTAAAACTGCAGTGTTTTAATTATCAGCCGTGCTTTGGAGACAAATCTTAGCATAAAGTGTTGAAAACCTCCAAAAGTTTCTAAAGCACGCTGTAGGTACTCCAGAGTTTAGAAAACTTGAGGATGCTTTGTGAGTCACTAGGGATAACAGGTAAAAATAGAAAAGCAGTTCCATGAGGAATTTACGTATGCAAACTTTGTACAGACACCCGTCTCGGGGACTAATCTGGCTGGCTCCTAGCTTGTGTTTCTGGAGCCAGCAATTCCAAATAAGTATTGCAGTGAGGCAGAGCCATGTCTGTGTTGATCATGGACCTGCAGCACCTTTCAGCAGATTTAATTATAGTCTATAATCTTTGTCAGAGCTTTCTTCAGCTGGGGAAGAAGAAGGAAGAGGCTCTTTTGTGGAGCTCCTCTTCCAGCTAGAGGGGAAGTAGCTCTAGCAGAGACAGATTTCTGAGCGGGGTACAGGTAGGGTGGTAAGCAAATGCTGCATGTTACTCTGTGTAATGAGCAGTTGGGGACTTATTTCTTACTGTTGTGAACCCAGTACTTAGCAGAGGGTAACTGTGTTAGTATATGTATTCATGCACGTGTACAAAATAGAACTTACAAAACATTAACCAGCATACTGTAAAGCTGAAGTCATTTAGAACTAAGCTTTTTCAATACCCAATATTTCTTGTATTATATATTGTATAGCTTTCTGTTTTGTAACATCTTTTTTAATTTGGTAATTCTGTATATTGCATATGATCTTGTTTTGGAAAGGCCAGGTGACTTCTGAAGGTCCCTTCCAGGCTTGTATTTTATAACTTGACAGAGTGTAAACATCTGCAGACTTCAGAACTGTGTTACAAGCTCAGTCATGGCATATACAATCAATCAACTGTATTTATGATTCTTGCTGAAGAAGAGAATCCAGTGACAAATGTGCCTTTTTTTTTTTTTTTTCCTTTTCTGTATAATACTGGCTGGTGGGGAATACTGTGTAGACTTCTCTGTATCATGAGTAATGTTAGGACCTAATTTCTAGTGAATTCAAAACACGGCAGAGAATCCCAAGTCTGGAAAATCCTTGCACAGCTAAAGCTGAGAAGAAGAAAGGACGTAAGAAAATGGACACCCTTCCTAATGAGAGGGAGGATGGTATAGTAATAGGGTTTAGAATAACTTAAGTCTTTTGTATGGGTTTTTTATAAGCATTGTCATAACTTGTCAAAAAAGCACAAATGTAAAATAAACTTGGCTCTGAATGTACTGGGAGGGGTGGAAGCATTAACCAGCATGTTACACAATTAAGATGTTCTGGAGAAAGCTATTGCAAATAGTCATTAATTACTCTCAAGTGATACTAATGTATGTGGCACTCCTTTCAAATGTGGTGGGTTAATTAAAACTGTTTTAACTGACGGTTGTAGAAACTTGGTGTTGTTTGTGGTTCACAGATTCATTTCATAAACTCAAGCAAATAGCCATTCTTTACTTCTCTTAACGTGAATATCAGTATCCATGAATTGTCAGGTTTAATTACTTTAATAAAAGTAAGTTAAAGACCTCTTATGTCCAGGAGGCAACACCTTCATTTTCTAGTCAAATAAGCTTGGGTATGCACTGCAAAACATGGCTGTGCGCTTTTATCAGAAGTGCCAGGCATAAAACCCCCTTTGCTAAGCCAAAACCTCTTAAATGCATCACAGCTTGAGGGGGAACCCTAAACGCTTGAAGAATGTTACGGTCTACAGGAGGTCTCAGATGCGGGAAGCCTGTGGGGTTTTTTTTTTTATCAAAACTGTGCAAAATAGCTTTCATACACTGATCAAGAACTTTAAATATGAAGACAAAGATGGTACTCACCTGCTGTTTTTTAGTGGAAGGCTGCACTTCTCCCGTGATGAGAAACCTTCCCATTTCTAACCTCAGCTTATGCGTGGCCCATGTATAGTCCTGCGTGAGTGGCATTCTGTACCATGAACAGCACTTTCTGTGTTTTTACAGAGAGCAAATCTCTCGTCGGCCACTGCTGTCTTAAACCAGCCTGTGGCTTCTGATTTCTGGAAAGACAGGTTCACCATTCTCCTGATTTTTTTTTAGCTGTGCTCTTCCTTAAATGTCTTAGTTTTAAAACACAGTTACCACCCTGGATTCTGGCAGCTTGCATGGGTTTCTTTTGGGTTTTGGTGTGTGTCCCCCCCTAATTACTCTTAAATTTAAGTACATAATTAGGGAAAATATCCTTGTTCCTTTTAGACTTTCTTAAATGCTTTGAAGATAATTGGAGGGTTTGTGTAATGCCCAATTTTTTTATATGAAGAACATTGGTACACTTTACCTACTGGTCTGCATTCAGCTGCAGCCTAATTCTGTGCTCACCAAAATGCCCTGAACAAGTCTTGGGAGCTTCAGGGTAGCTCCTTCTAACCCAGCCCTGGAGAGAAGAGAGCAGTTTGGGAGAGTCCAAGCACACTTGGCTCTTTTCTCAGGGGCAGTTATGAGCAATCCAAAACATGTATGACTGGGTGCTAGGGAAGGCTAAGTGACCTGAATGGGATGATTAATGATTAAATGTCATGGATATGGGAAACAGCTGCCACACCCCACTGCGATTTTGTATTTTTAGTTGATGTAACAAGTGACTAATTTTTTATACCATTCCTTGAGAAGGTAGAATTCTTAAGAAGTATTCACCTGACCTTTACATCCTGCATGTAAGGACTTTTGGACCTATAATACATACATAAATCAAGACAGTGTAGTAACAGATCATTCAAGGTTTTTTGTTTGGGTTTTTTTTTGGGGGGGGAGGGAGGGTTGTTATGGTGATAAAGCACTATAGAAATGTTGGAGGGAGTCCAGAGGAGGTCCACGAAGCTGATCGGAGGGATGGAGCGCCTCTCCTATGAGGACAGGCTGAGAGAGTTGGGGTTGTTCAGCCTGGAGAAGAGAAGGCTCCGGGGAGATCTAATTGCGGCTTTCCAGTACCTGAAGGGGCCTACAGGAAAGATGGTGAGGGACTGTTTAGGGAGTGTAGTGACAGGACAAGGGGGAATGGGTTCAAGCTGAAGGAGGGTTGATTTAGATTAGATGTTAGAAAGGAATTCTTTACTGTTGGAGTTGTGAGGCACTGGAACAGGTTGCCCAGAGAAGTTGTGGATGCCCCCTCCCTGGAAGTGTTCAAGGCCAGGCTGGATGGGGCTTTGGGCAACGTGGTCTAGTGGAGGGTGTCCCTGCCCACAGCAGGGGTCTTGGAACTAGATGGTCTTTAAGGTCCCTTCCAACCCAAACCATTCTATGAATCTATGAAACAAAAGCATCCACATACTGAAAAGAAAAGTTACACATGCAGAAAAGAGTTGCTAAGATCATTGAGCACTTATTAATGATGGACCAAACACATACATCAATGGAAACCAAAATGCTTTAGCAGATGCACAACAGCCGAGAGAGCCGAGGTGCTGGTCCCACAACACAGAGCAGTGGAGGTCACTGGCAGTATGGAACAGCACCCTGAATAAAGAGAGTTTTCAGAGCTAGTAGGTGAAACTGCACAGATTTTAAAATGAACTTGGGAGATGATAATGACAACCAAAATAAAGCATGATCAAATCAGGAGGCTATGTTTGCCAGAAGTGGGGATGCTGAGTTTCTGAATGCAATTCCTGTAACAAGTACATGCACAGCAGTGAAATCCATCTGCAATGAGTCCACGCCAGGGGGACACGTCAGCATTACTGCACTGGTGCAGCAGTTTGTGTAGATCCCATTGACCAAGAATGTGTCGGTTTTACCGTGCATGTGCAGCGTATGTATATGATAGGTTTGATGCATCCGTGGCGCAGGTCTGTGCTGATACAATAAGCAGCCTTTTGTCGGGGCTTTCCTGACATCCAAAGGTATGTGCCAAGCTACTCCAGCTGTGGAGCTCGACATCCAGAAAGTCCAGGCAAAAAGTCAATGCCCTCAAATTTTGCCTCCGTAAAATTATTGGGAGTTGTCAGAATAATCCAAAGGGGGTTTTAATTATGATTTTTGAATACCTAAATTTAATAAACTGAATTTATAATAAAGATTGCAGTGGAAAAATATGCAGGCATATCTAGAGCTTTATAATACACATATTGTAAGTATAAATAATATAAATAAATAATAATGTATGATAAACAATATGCATTGTATAATATAAATAATAAATATTAATGTTTACATGAATTATATTCCTCATGGTGCATCTTTGCAGGATTGGATAGTATTTACCAGAAGCATTGGTATGGCTGGGGGTTTTTTTTTTTTTTTTCTTTATGGCTGTTGCTTTTTTATTTGTTTATGGGATTGTGGGCAACACATCCTATTTTCCACAGGGATCTTTGTGAATATGGAAAAATTTTGTAAATATTAAAAATTGCTAAGCATCAAGGGGACACATCAGAAATCAGGGTTCACTCTGTTTGAGAGGGCCCAGAAAGATTTGGAGTGAAACTGTGAGCCTAAAAGCCAGCTAAGTCCTGTCCTCCGCTGTGCTGCCTTGGGAAATGATCACCAGCTAAAGTACGTGCTCATGGAGGCTTCTAATTGGGGCAGGAACTGACCCATG